TAAGCTACCGTCAATAGAACGTACGGTCATTATAGCTGTACTTAGACTGAAATATACCCCAAATACGGCCATAATGACCGTACGTTCGATTCGGGGGAAGAAGGTAGGCCTAAATCTCGGGCGTTGTAGCAGAGGACGATAGGGGTAAACTGTGAATCTGTTTCATTTTGGATGTAGAGGGCTCGATCCCTCGCCAATGGCTATGATCGTCGCTTCACTATACCTTGCAACGACATTCTAAATGCATCTGGATCGCGATATGATCCAGATACATTCAGAGGGAACCCCAATATTTCGAATGTATCGGACTCATTAACAGATGCATATGCATTTCGAATGTTTTATAGTGAAGCGAGGCCTTATCACAACATATAATCCGGAGTTCTTCAACGGGAAAAAGGGAAAATGGGGGACGGGGCCTGAATGTGAGGAGGGAGGAGGGGGGGGGGGGGGTTAATAACCGGGGGGGGGGGGCATTAGCTTTGAAAACTTTTTTTTTTTTTAAGCTTTGAAAACTTTCATAAAAATGAGCATTTTGAACGTAATTTATTAATTATATAATAATATATGTTCAATATATTGATATTCTGCCTCCTCTGTTTATAATGCTGCTTCGCAGACCCTTCTACAAGCGGACTCCGTGCTGTACTCCGTATATCCCGTCTTTGGGTTTGATGATATTGCAAGACATGCAAGCAAAGGAATGGCGAATAATTCTCAGGTAAAGGCAATAGTGAAAGAAAAAAATCTCAGGTAAAAAGGCATTATGAACTTTGCTTCCATTTGATTCTCAGGTGAAGAAAAAGCATTCATTTTGGTGCTGTTAAGTTCCGATAAATCTCGTGAATAGGTCATCACTGGATATCGGTTATTTTTTTTTTATTTATTTACTATTGATTTTTTATTATATTTTATGTTGTTGTTTTTTAATTATATTTTATGTTGTTAATATGTGGACCATTTCTTGATTTATGCATGTCATTCTTGCTCAGGGGCGGTACTACAAATCTTCTCTGTATCGTTCCATTTCTTTCAGATGTCCCGCAGGACGGGAGATCTATCCTGTTAAGAGAAGAACACCGTCTGCTTTTCTCCACTAAGGGCCTCGTTAGACCCTCCTTGAAAATCCGATTCTAAGGAAATCGGTGTCGTTACACCGCGTCCTAATTCACCAAATTCCTTGAATGAATGTGAAAACGCTCCCGAGAGATTTCCTTGGATTCCTGAGGATCCCCAGCCAAAAAGTCCTTGGATTCAAGGGGTCCTCGGGAGGTCCCTTGGGTTCAAGGACCCGCGATTGACGGAGTGTTCTGGAGCGAGCGCTGACAGGAAAATTTGGAATCGATGTTGGTGCACAGGTCGTCCGTGGTCCGTTGGGCGGACATCGCCGGCCTCCAGTACCCGACGGGCCCCCAACGGCCTTCCACCGTTACCGTTGGCGTGGAAGTGCGTGGGGGTGGTTCTTCAGCTGCAAGGTGCTTCACGAAGCTGGGGTTTCCATGTGCGCGTCGCCGGCCGTAATGCCCAACGGTCAAATTTGTTTATTTGTCTACAAGCGATGTTGAAGCACTGTTGGTCGATTGCAGGCATCTGCCTAGTGTGTTTTGTCAGCTATTGTCGGGCGCATTGGTGCAAGCTTTGTTTGGTACACGCCTCGCATGCTGGGATTCATGGCAGATGTCCTCCGGCGGCTCCCGTTCGTCCTGCTGGCCACTCTTCTCCCGCTCCTTGCCGTGTTGTTCCACGTGTGCGTCGTTGTGCGGGGTCCTGGCAGACAGAAACGATGAACGGTAAGGAAGACGATGATGGACAGGCGGGAAACCTCCAGCAGACAGCCGACGGGCACCATTGACTACTCCACTGCGTAGCTTCTCCTTGTAGTAAGGCCCCCGCCACATCGTCAACTTGTCGGAGATCCTCCCATGTCCCTCCCATCCTTCTCCTCATCCACCATCTCGGCGTCGCCCGCGGGATCACACCCGATGCCATGGTGCAGCAGAATTGCACAATGGATTCCGATAACGGCACACAATCTGGTGCATCCATCACTTGTTGCATCAGCTGCCTCTGCTTGCGAACGGACAATCTCATCCTCAGGCGAGTTGTCGTTCTCTCAATACGATAACGCATGGCAACGACTAACACAGCTGCGACCACCGTGTTTCTCTCCAATGCCGGTAATGTCTTTGCACCACCCGGGAGCTCTTGGTCCATCGTCAGGACTTGCAATGCGCAAGCACCCACCACTCGTTCGCCTGCCGGCGCCCTCGGTGCACCTTCTGCACGTTGATGGGGACCACGCTCGCACTTTCCACGTTTCACGGAAGCGTTACATTCGCGCTAAGCTGTGACGGCCCGAAGAGCATGCAGAACACGAAGGCAACGTTGCATACATGCTACGTCCCCCAACGTTCCAATGCCCTCCTTTTAAGCCATGGCCACCATCACTCCTCTGCACAGACGTCTCGCCCGGGCCCAGTCTCCAGTCCAGCTGCCAGGACGCCTCACGCACAGATGTGTCACAACAGAGGGTTCAAAATTTGAAATTGGAACGGGGATGTTGGCGCCCTTTTTCTTCGTCAGCCCGGTAGGCCTCCCCGCCACTGCTACTGGACCACGCCCGAGGATGCACGGACATCCCAGCACGATGATGGACATCCACCCCCGCGGCCGCGTGTATGTGTATGAAATTGGCCGCTGGAGACCTCCAAGGGTTTTCCTTGAAACCCATTGAATTAGGACGCGGTGTAATGACGACACCGAAAACCGGAAATTTTTCCAAGGACTTCATCCTAATTCCTGAGGATTTTCCAAGGAGGGTCTAACGAGGCCCTAAGCATTAAAAAAAGGGAAAATTTTTAATTACAAAACCAATTCACTATGGTTCCATAGAAACGTGCTGTTGAGAAGAACCCCACGAATCCTCTGCTTTTCTCCATTAAGCATAAAAAGAAAGAAAGAGGAAAACAAGTTAAAAAAACCCATTCACTATGGTTCCGTAAATTTTCTATACAAGTCTTGTCTACAAACAATTGACTCTAAACTAAAGATCTCTCACGTTGAGAGAAACGTCAACCCCCTTCGCCCCCTTCCCCCCTCC